CTCAACTATTGTACGGATAAAACATGATATTGTTCGGGCCAATCCAGGGTTATCTAGGATCCTCTCTTATATGACCCGAACAATAGTATGTTTTATCCGTACAATAGGAGTGTATCGAAATTGGGGCCTCCTATGGCGGAGCACGCCCATATATATTTAATCAAGATCTTTTATTTCTGAAAGTTTCAAATCTCTAGGTATAACTGATGGTGCATATATTAAATTGATATGTGGTCTTTGATCGTATATTAACAACGTCTGTCATGATGTGTATGATTGGAGAAGGTCTAAATTTTTATCCATACACTTCCAAAATTCTTTTTGAATAGTGTTTTATAAAATAAAGTTAGCTGAAAATCGATATGATTCTACCTGAAAACATGATATATTCTGTTTTTTTCCTAATGGTAATTCAAATTCATATTCAACTCGAAGTTCAGGTAAAATAGCCAAAATAGTTTTATTAATCATTTCTGTAATTAATGTTTTTGTTCGTTCAATTTTTTCATTCCCATATATATTTATTAATTGTATCCAAACTGTACTTAATTTACGTTTACTACCATCAGTTTGTTGTTTATTAGTTGCATGTTTATAACTAGCACTATGTTTATTTAACGAATAATTAGTTAAATGCATATATGTTTGATGAAGATTTTCTGTTGATGGAGCTTTATAACCTATTGTTGCAAAACGAGCAAGTCCTTCATCATAAAGAAAAATTTCTAATGGATATAAATTAAGAATAACAACATAAATTCGTAAATCAAATTTAAGTCCATTAATTAATAATGGTCGATCAATATATTCTTTAAATAAAAAAAAATAAAAAAAACGTATTCCATTTTTTTTCAATAAACAAACCTTGTGCAACATGTTGACGATTAGTAACAATACAATGAGATGGATCTCTAAGTAAATAAATGCCTTCACCTTGTGAACCATCTAACACACAATAAACAAAATCAGATGTTTGTTTTTTTTTTATAGTTAATATTTACACGAAACAAAAGAAAAGAAACTCAAACCTGATGGTTTAACAATAAATGTTGTTAATGAACGATTATGTTTTTTATCTTGTTGATGTATATAACGTACATCATCTTTAAATTGTTGAGTTTGTTCTGGAAGAAACCATGTTTTAGGATAAAAATCAAAATCATTTGGAAATAATAATCTCATATTATTTAATAAACGAGTTAAATGAACTTTTCGTAATAAATCATTCATACCTATGCTTCGCATAAGAATTCAAAAATCTATTATCATTACTGGTTAATTTTTCAAAATTTATTACATACCAGGAAATTTATTTACTCGTCCTGAATTGAATGCAAAATTTACATTACCTTCATGAAATGATGATGAATGCCAATAGATATCAGAATCAACATTTGTATTAGTGAAACACTGCAGAAAAAAAAAATTGATTTTTGAAAAAGAAAAAAATTGAAAATTTTATTAAATAATCATTTTATTACTTCTTTCCATCCAAGTTCTCGAATACATAGTCGTACAACTTCAAGATTTGATCGTGCTTTACTTATATCTACTGTTATTAAAGTTTTTCCTCCATTATTATCTTCAATTTTTGTAGTTGATGATGTTAATTTTTGTACTGTTGTCGTATTTATATCATTCTGTGATAAAGTTCGATTTGGTAGTGATGATGATAATATTGGTTGTTGTATTATTTGAGTAGCACTTGGTTGTTTTGGTATTTTAGTTGCTGATTTAATTTTTGTATGATAACTTGCTGATTTAATTGTTTTCTTTACTTTTGCATCGATTAATATCGCTTGACTTGCTTGATCAATAAATGCTTTTTCTTTTTCATTATCAACATTATTATTATTATTATTATTATTGCCATTAGTGGCAATAGTCATACTTGAACTTTTTAATGTTTGATCAAAACTATTTTGATTACTACTCTGTTGATAGTGATTATCGAAATCTTTATTTGTCATTTCAGTAATTGAAATATCAGGAATATGTTGATTTTCATTTGTTAAATTAGTTGACATTGGTGTTGTGTTTAAATCAATTGTTGAACGTAAAAATATAATTGAAGAAGTTGTATTTTGATTTTGATTTTTTGAATTTGATGATGCATGGCGTTTAGTCCATTGTAAATGTGAACGACGTTGAATATTTGTTTGATATTGTTTAAAATGATTAATTGTTTCAGGTGTTAATTCAAATTTAAAATTTGTTGGTAAACCTTCAGATTGAAAACTTGATACACTAGTTATAAAAAATGAATTAGCTGGCTGAATAAAATCATTTAATTGTTGTTCATCACGTTTAATATCATCTTTTTCGATATTTGATGATTTTATTAATACAGTGTTTGTCTTCGTAACACACTTGTTTATGTAAGCAGATGCCGATGACGACGAAAAAGAAGTTGTTGTCGGTTTTCGATTTTCTGTACAATTGTTACCATTGCCAATGTTAATACCACTTGATGACTTCATAAGCACAGTCAACAAGATTTATTGATCAAAAAAATAAAAAATGAAATAACACTTATTAGGTATCTGAAGGAAGAAGAATTTGCGTTGCCGACATCAACCAATGAACAGCAAACATTCAAATAAATAGCAACTCAAAACTTCATAATGAAGAAAGCATAAAGTTTGATATAAATTTTTTCTTTCTAAAGTTTACGTGTTATTTTATTTTACGTTTTAATATAAAGACCTGATTGACTTAATAGATGATATACATATATATATATATATACTTTCCTATAATAATTTCATATTACTCACAGTTCTCTCCTAAGATGACGATAAGGATGAGGATGAAGAAAAGAAAGCGTGCCTATTATTTGACAAAAGAACAAATGTTATTATTATTATTATTGTGTTCTGGTTGTTGATGCTTGATAGATTCTTTTTTTCTTTTTTTTTTTTTTCTCAATCAATGTCCTCTACAACAGCTAAACAACCAGCAACACGGAACACCTTAGCAACATCTTTTTTAGAGAACGAGTATTGTCGATGACAACAATAAAGAACAGGTGCTGTTGAAAAGAAACTAATTCGATGAACTTCTTTTACACATATTTGTTTTGTTTTTGTTTATTCAATGATATTCTTATTGAAAATTTATGTGATAAAGAAAATGTTGAATATTTCTTTTTTTTTTTTTTCTTTTGTTTAAAATAAAAAAACAAGAAATAACTGTTGAAAAAATTAAGAGTTTACCTATTAAGACTAAAAGCTAGAATGATAAATAAGCTTTTACTCTATGTCGAATTATTACATACTTGAATTTAAATTAGAAAGTGTGTCAGAATGAAATCCGAAAAGTACCAATGAGAATTGAAGTGATTGCCGTTGGCAGAACAAGGATATAGTTACATTGTTTGAGACAAAAATAGAAGACAATTTAAATCTATTTCGTTGCTTTATATATATACATAGGCTGTTAGCATAATTTCTGTGGAATGAAAATGTGAAATACAACGTGAATGCTGTTGCTAGACACACAGAGAAATTGTTTTATTTTTTATCAAATTCTAGAACAAATCATTCTTTTACTTAATCTTTCAGAAATGCAATAAAGAAGTATCTCATATATTAAAACAAAAGGTTATTAATATACAGTCCTTGGTCATATTTCAACAACATTACTCGCAGTCTATGACACAAGGAGTATATCGAAAATGTCGGTCATTTCTAATGTGTTTGTGATTATTTTTTGAAATTTATTGAATTTTTTAAAAGTTTCAAGGTATTTTTTTTCTCTATCGTTTAATATCGAAGTATGATGTGTTTTATAAGATTAATCTAAATAAATCTCAATATAAATTAATTTATCATTAGGTTAATTTTCTCCATTGAATTTATTCTTCAAACATTATTATATGTCAGAAGTTGTTATATAAACTTCTTCACATTAGACAATTATTCAACTGATCTATCTCAGATACATATATATCTCTGTTGACATTTTCCTGTATCTAACTTTCTAACATGAATTGATTCCTCAGCAGATCAATTCTTTTCCCAACGGATACATTCTAAGCATTACACGATCGACTTGTATCAATGATGTATGTTCTCGAATTTTTATGAATAACTAAAAACACAGAATGACTCCGTGTCTAGAGTGATAACTTCTTAGGTCATACATTTAAGATTCAAATTCTTATTTGTTTACTCTTTTTCTTTTTTGTTGCTCAAGATTTTCTTTTGATTAATATGACATAAAAGTGTATCTATTAAAAATCTTGCCGCACGATACTGCATAACTATATCCTATCGGATTGATTTCGAATATGTTATTCTTTCAGTAGGTTTATTATGCAAACCTTCTACACCATCAGGTTCTTATAAATTCCGAAACACGGAAAGATACCAGAATTTATTTATAAAAAAAAGCCTGAAAAAATAAGTCCTGACAGCTGCTGATCTATCAACAACTGTTGACCTCATCTATCATCGTCTGTGACGTTTTCATGATAAAGTCTGACAGATTCTATGGAAGATGTAAATTTCTACCCTATATGCTTCAGCATTTATTTTAGATAATGCTTCGCAAAATAAATCTAAAAGATTCATGGATATGTATGAAGCAAAACTAGTTCCACCTTTTATGATTCAGTCATAGCGGTATTACCTGAATTCAATAAAGTCAAAATTCATGGACTCGCTTCAGTCTCGGCTCTGTAGTATGTCGCATGTGAATGCTTCGAAATCGTTTATCGTTTACGCTCAAATCGAGTCTCATCTATTCCTGTGAACGAAATATCTGCAGTTGACCAATAGAACACTCGCAAATTGAACTTTCGGCAGTGTACCTCTTACATCTTAGTCGATTGACGAAAATCTCTTGAACTTGCTAATGTTAGTGTCTCATTAGCATTAATTACAAAGATTTTTATCAATTACATTCATAAATATCAACAACAAGTTATATTTCAATAATGTTGAACATAGTTCTCACATGTATGCTGACAATTGGTAAACGTTCACTGAACTTTCACCAACAATTGATAAAAATGTAATATAGATTAGCTTAGATACACTTAAATTGTCTTTGAAAATAGTCAATAAATAAATAACAATATGGTTTGAAATGGGCTCGCTCTTCGGTCATTCATTCGTTATTGTTTTTAGAAGTGTATGCACTATAATAATATACGTATGTTATCATTTCGAATGCAATATATATATTTTTTTCAAATAAAAACAATCGATTAAAAATTCATGATGAATTATAATTTATTATGAAAAAAAATGTTAGTATTTATAATAAAGATAAAAATTATAATATAGTTTTCAATCGATAAATTCTTCACTTTATTTATTTAATAATTCATTGTAAAATTTCAATTAGCTAATATAGAATTGTTGAGAAGAATAAACTATTGTCTGAAATATCTGAATGAAAGTATTTATTTGACGTATGATATCAATGTTAATGAAATTCCAGGTGTTTTTTACCAAATTTGCGTAGTATGATTTCCCAATCGTCTGATCAGCAACCACAAGAAAGTTAAAAAAACATTGATAATTTATACTCTCTCACACAATACATTAATAAATAATTATATCACTCATTATTTTTCACTTACAATGCTCATAATTTATTTAAATTTAAGTGATGAATGAAAGAATGCATAGTGTAATAATAACTTTGCAATATGGCATTTTTACTTTTCATATTTTGCACTGACATTCATTCAAAGTACAATGACAATAATTCTTTTGCATAGAAAGTTACTTGAAAAATTTAAAACAAAAAACAATGTATGACTTTTTGCAAAAAAAAACGTAAAATAAAATGTTTTCACTAAAATGCAATTAAAATACATAGCTGTTAACTGAATCAATTAGTTTTTAAAACTTTTATAAAAATGAGTCCGTTTTTTTGTTTAAATCACGTAGAAAAAGAGATCATTATATTCATAACTATCAAAAATGAGTTGATGCAAATAACATATATTAGTGAGTTCCATCTTCAAATTATTAGATATCATTATCTCGTATACAATAATAAAGATATTTAGGCAAAGAAATTATTTCCATCATGAATAGGCATATTTTAGTCTTATAATTTCTAATAGAAGTAAAGACTATGATTTAGTTAATAGTTAATAATATTCAATTTTCTTATTATTTTAATTATGTTTCTCAAATATTACATTTTGGCATTATTCTTGAAAAAGATATTGTTTCATATATGATCACTTAATAGTTTTTTTTTTTTTCATTATTTCATAGAAATAAAATTAACAGGATATTATATATTATAGAACATCGTCATTAGAAAGATTAATGCCATCATATAGGGCAAATTAATTAATGAATTTATATCATTGGTAGACGTACTTTTTAAATATTAAAGATCTATAATCCGCTTTTTCCACTTCAATTTTACAAGAATCAAAATAATATTCATTTAGAAAAAAAAAATCCGACGTCTATAAAAAATTCATTCAAAAATCTTTTTGTCAACAAAAAATATATTCCATCGATGACAGTAACTTGTCATTATGCAAGTGTTCTTAACAAGTCACCAAGAAAATACCCCATTTCAGTTGTTGATGAATAATTGTATATAAAACATTTTTCATAGTCAATATTGAATAAAACGATTAATTAATTTTTTTAGAATATTCTACAAATAAAAAAAATACAAATATTTTTAAATATAAAGTCATATAAACAAAATCAGCTGTTTAAATGCATATTCGCGTTAAATAAATGCATATAAATCAATCAACCAATAGAAAACAATTTTATATGTGTGCATACCATATATATACATACATTCATTCATCAGTCAGTTGAGTCTTGTCTTTCATCCATCGGTCATTCCGTTCATACACGTTTTTTTTTTTCTTTTTCTCTACCTAATGATGAAATATTAANGCGTTTTGAGTAAGTGGAAAAAAGGGTTGTATACGCTTCTCACCATGGGAAACGCTCGAAATGCGTTAAACCGGTCACCATTAACGCGTTTCACAGTGAATATATCCTAATTTTTTATCCCATGGGTGAGCACATATTAGTTGGAGCTAAGAAACATGATTATTTACTGTTTTTTACCAATTCAGTAAAATACTTCAGCTATGGCATTAAATGATAGTTAACAGCAAAAGGCAACTACATGATAACAATTGAGAAATAAGGATATGAAAATTCTTTGAAGATATCCTTTAAGAACAATATGAAATCACCAAGAAAATACCCCATTTCAGCTATTGATGAGTAACATGTATAAAACATTATTAACAGAAAAAAATCGAATAAAACGATGAAATAATTTTTAAAGAATATTCTATAAATAAAAAAAAGAAATAGGTCAAAATTTTTTTATCTACAGTCGGATAAACAAAATCAGCTGTTTAAATGCATATAAATCAATCAACCAATAGAAAACAATTTTATATGAGGCATACACACTATATATGTATATACATATTCATTCATCAGTCAGTTGAGTCTTGTCTTTCATCCATCGGTCATTCCGTTCATGTATGTTATTTATTTCGTTTTCGTTTACTTAAATAATGAAGTATTTAATAATAAATTTTATCATTTCTATTTCAATCTTTTCGTTTCTTCATTTTAGATTGAATAAAAAATTCATTCTTACATTTTTCTTTTTGTTCTTCTTTTACATCACAGATCTAATCAAGACATATAATTTAGTTAAATTATTATCAAACATTAATCTCACTTAGATATTTTCTTGTTACTCATTTTTCTTTTCTTTACATAAATACATTGTTTTCTTCTATTGTATTATTATATTGAACGCACGATCGATCTTTAATATGTTAAATGTCTCTGAGCAACAATAATAACAGTGTGTTCTTTCGAATGTCCAACTTCGTCTCGAATGGCCCACATACAAAACAGTTCGAGCTCTTCGACTAGACGATCATTACGTTTATTAACGTATGTTAGAAATTATTTATAAATCATTTGTAGTTTGTATTTTTAAAATATAGAGCCGAACGTAAATCAACAGCTACGACGACAAACGAACCTACCAATATCGACGGTAGAAGAAAAACAAATTATATTTATGATAGATTTTTGTTTTTGTTTTTTTGATTTCTAGAGGAAGAAGAATCACAACCAACAGCACGTCAAGCAAAATATAAAGCACTTGAAGCTATATCAATTAGTAATAATAATAATAATAATAATAAACGTCGAAGTGAACCTGAATTAGATATAAACGACGCTGAACAAAACGAAAGTGAAAAACAAGAATTAGAAGAATATCCAACAAATTCTAATAGTAGAAAACGAACACATTCAAAACAAGCATCATCATCATCATCTCATCATAGTATTCGTCATGTATCAAATACTGTAAGACGTCGAAAACGAAGTAAAAAATCAACAACACGTATTGATAAATTATCATCGAAAACAGTAAAACGTCAACGACAAATATCATCTGACGAAGACGATAATCGTTTATCAATACATACGAAATCAAAAAGAAATTCAGCACCAATTTTAACTGATCGTACACGTTCAAAGTCAAATTTAAGAAAACAAAGTCATTCAAATAGTGATTTAGAACAACAAAGTGAAGGTGCAGACACGGGGAATCTCTGTGTTAGACGAGGAACAGGTTAACAAATTTTATCATAATTGAATTTAAAATAATAATAAAATTTCAATATTTTTTATAGGCACACGAGAACTTAATACTGTCGTAAGTGATCCTTCAACTACCAATAGTCGACGATCACGTGCAAGTGTTCATCATCGTCGATATTCAAATAAAACACCTATTGATTATTTGACAACGGGTCAATCGTCTTCTAGGTAATATATATATATGTATACATCATAAATATAGAAGTATTTAAACATATTACTCAATACACATGCTGTGCATGTGAATGAAAAGATGTTCACGATGAAATTTTATTTATCAGTAAATGTAACCAGTGGACCATAATGAATTGGTCTATTTCAATCATTTACTATTCACTCATATATACAGCCGATACTAAGATTATTCAACAAAGTTTATTTTTTATGTTGTTGTAAATGATAGAAAGATTTCAACTACGGAAAATTGTTTCTAATAAGAAAATAAAATTTAGATTTTCAAAGATGAAACTTTCAGATAAAACAAAATCCTAGTTTTTTAATCTCTACTATATTTTTTTAAGATATAGTACAATTCGATGATATGCCATTTCATAGGGAATCGTTTACTTTATCGTTCTATATATTCTAAATAAAATTCTATTGATGTATTCTAAGTACTACAATGCTAAGGTATTGATTTTCTAGAGATCTTATCTTTAGAAGTTGGATAAGAATTTTTTTTGTTTCCTTATATTAAAATAATTTTCTCTACTCGATTCACTCTAGCGCTTACGACAATAGAAAAAAAATGAAAATAAGCTTTGTTGAATAATGTTGGTACTCACTGTATGCCAAAATGGTAAAGAATTTTAAACTAATTATATATCACTACTGAAAAATTCACTAGGTTTCTCAGAAAAAAAACGAAAATATTCTCGATAAAATCGTCTATCTTTGAAATTTTTTTTTTATCCATCTTGGGTCCCCTATTTTTAGCGAAAATATGTTGCATTACGGTTCACTAGGCATGTAGTATCGTAGAGAATGAAATTCTATATTTCCTTTCCAGTATTCAAATCAGAACTTTTCAATTGCATTTTAAATGAAAAAGACAATTTCATTGTTCAAAAAAAAAAATTACCATGAAACTTATATTTGACTGTCTAGTAAAACTTGAGTAATCGAAAATGGATCAGCTGAATTGAGAACTAAGTCTTCTATCTTTTATTATATAAATGAATATTTTCTATATGAGTTTCAATGAGAAAAATATTATATTTACATTTAGTTCGATTCATTATGGTCTACCCATTAGTTGAGCATGAAGGTTATTGATGCAACAAAACTTTAGTAAAAGAAATATCATTTGTCAATACGTTGTATGAATACATATAACCTTGTATATACACAACATGAGACATTTTTCCCTTTTGCCTTTCGATTAAGGACAATGTCTTTTTCTTTCTTCTATGCATTAAAGGGTGTACGAATGAATTCTTTTTCTCTCATATGACAATCTTATTGCTTTGTGAAACAAAGCAAAAAAAAAGAGAAATCACTAAATTAAAACCGTTCTTTTCTTCTTCTAGTCGTTCGTCGGTGCCTGTCACCAACACCGGCGGTATTGACGGTCGACCGTGTGACTCAAATAGCAGTTTACCATCATCAACACATCCTTTGCATTTATTTAATTCACCTGCATATTATCAACAAACTGCATCTCCTCCACCATCATCATCTGCTCAATCATTTTCAGGCGTTGTTCCAACAGCATCATATAGTTCACCGTTTCTTGCTAGTGCAGCATCTGCTAGTACACATCGTAATACAAAACATTCATTACCAATGTCAACTGAAAGTGATACAGATCCAGAAAATAATGGAGGACATATGAGTCCATCACCACGTGATGTTTTATCTGATCCAGCATTTGCACGTGCTGCAGCAGCTGCAGCTGCTGCTGGTGGTCCAACAAGTGCAGCACTTTTTCACACATTATCAGGTCGTGTTCAACATCTAATGAGTCGAGTTGGTGGTAGTAGTTCAGTAAATGCTATTAATGGACGTTTACAGCAATATATTCAAGGAATACAAGTAAGATTTGATTATAAAAGCATACATATTGGTATTTATACTTGTTTTGTTTTTTTTTTTTAGTCACCTGATCCTGATGTTCGATTAACAACACTTAATGAATTATGTTCTGTAAGTTTCATAAAATGAAAAATATAAACAATCAAGACAAATTTCTTTTTATAGCTTCTTGTCATGAGCAATGAAGAAACATTACCCGGTTTTCAATTTCGTGTTCTTTATCCATCATTACGTGATTGTTTAGCCGATGAAAATGAAGCTAATGCTGAAATAGTTTTAACAGCTTGTCGAGCATTAACTTATCTTATGGAAGCATTACCACGTTCAGCAGCACAAATTGTTGAAGCAACACCAATATTTTTAAGCAAAGTAAATTTATTCGATTGATTTGAAATAAATTTTTATTGAGTTGTGTTTATTTTTATTATTAATATAGTTACGAAGTATAACATCAATTGATATAGCTGAACAAGTTTTAACAGCATTAGAAATGATTTCAAAACGAAATGGAAAACAAATTCTTATTGCTGTAAGATTTATATATATATATGAATGAATTGGAACTTTTTTTTTTTTTTCGTACGATTAGAATAAGAAAACTGAAAGTAGATCTAAAAGAAGTTTCTGAGTAGATTATTTATTACATTATCTGTATTAATTGGTAGTAGTTTCTCAAGATTTCTCTAAATATTAAGAGAAAAGAATATTCTTGAATAAATGTGAATTTCTTCTGAATGATACAAAAATTAAGAGCTGAAATTTTCTTCCACCATAGAAACTTTTATTTTCTATCTACCATGAAAATTTGAATCAAACTTATGAGGTCACATATGTAAGTGTAAAATCGCTTTTGAGTCGTTACTATGTGCATCATGTAGGCGTTAGTGAGACTAGAAAAAGCCCAAAAGGATAAGGGCTGCTGGGCCTATCTTCCCGAGTTATGACCGTTTTATTGAATTTTTTACCCAATGCAAAGTACTTCGAGGCAAATCAAAGGAAGGAATTTTGAGCAGAAATTTTGCCCATAAGTAGGCCTAATGATCCCTAGAATGTCCTGAAAGTTTCAGTCAAAACGAATGTTCCTTTCTCGAGATATCGGACTTACAAGAATCTCGAATTTTGTGAACTGCCTGTGACAGGTGACTATTTAAAAAAAATTGAATATCTTAAGAAGAGAACATTCATTTTGGCTGAAACTTTCAGGACATTCTAGGAATCATTAGGCCTACTTATGGGCAAAATTTCAGCTCAAAATTCCTTCTTTCGATTTGNGTTCGACAAGCTGTTAGAACTATTTCAGCATTAGCTTCATTTTTATCAGCTAAACAATCACGTAATGATGGATAAAGAACACTCAATGAATTATGTTCCGCAAGTTTCAAAAATAAAAAAATGGTTAATAATTTCGATAAATTTTCTTCTACAGCTTCTTGTAATGAGCAATGAAGAAACATTACCCGGTTTTCAATTTCGTGTTCTTTATCCATCATTACGTGATTGTTTAGCTGATAAAAATGAAGCTAATGCTGAAATAGTTCTAACAGCTTGTCGAACATTAACTTATCTTATGAAAGTATTACTACGTTCAGCAGCACAAATTGTTGAAGCAACACCTATATTTTTAAGCAAAGTAAAATCATTGAATTGATTTTGAAAATTAATCTTTCTTGGTTTTCTTTTTTGAAATATAGTTACGAAGTATAACATCAATTGATATAGCGGAACAAGTTTTAACAGCATTAGAAATGATTTCAAAACGAAATGGAAAACAAATTCTTATTACCGTAAGATTTTTCATACATATATATAAATGATTGGTTATGTTTTCTTTTTGGTACGATTAAAATGAAAAAGCAACCTAAGAACGTTTTAAAAGTAGATATTTTATTATAATCAATATCTCTATTGATTGACTAGATTTTCTCAATATTTTTCGTATGAATATGAAAATTCTTTTGAACAGTATAAAAATATCTATCAAGCATATCGAATGTATTAGATGAAGGCTTTGCGATGGAGATAAGCTTTCACTCAATTATATATTTTAATAGAATATCAAATGTTCTACAATATAGATTAATAGCACTTTTTCTCTTTCGTAATTGAAAAATATTCTTTATCTTGTGCTACATCCTATCAAAAAAAAAAAAACTACCCTTTTCTCCTGTAATCTATCAGTCATAATTCAGTGATACTATAAACTATCGAGTTAAAAACTAATTAATCGAATTCAGTTGTGATTTCAATTGTACCAAAAACTTAACATAGAATTCATTCGTATATAAATAACTAATATTAGTATTTTACTTCTTCTTAGGATGGTATAAGTGCATGTCTTGAATATATTGAATTTTTTTCTATAACATCTCAAAATAAAGCATTATCTATAATTGCTAATTGTTGTATACATATATTAACACGTAATGATTTTAATTATATATGTGGACATTTAGAAAATCTTTCAAATAGTTTACGTTCTGATGATAAAAAAACAGTTGAACATGTTTGTACAATATTTTCACGTTTAGTTGAAAATTTTCATCGTGATTCATTCATATTACGTGAAATAGCATCAACGCAATTACTTAAAACAATGCAAACAATGCTTGTCATACAACCATCTTTATTAATTAGTATAACATTTGTTAGTATAATTCATATGTTATTTATCTTTTCGGCATATTGTCCTACACTTGCTGTTACATTACTTAAAATGAATATAGCTGATACAATAATTTATTTATTAACGGGTACAAATGATAATAAGTCAACAATTAAATCCATACCAATAACATATATATCAGCAGCATTATCAACAACAAATGAATCAATATCGATGAATATATCATCAATACAAGAAACAAATAATATTGAGCTTATACCACGTACACCACAAGAATTATATGAAATAGTATCATTAATTGGTGAAATGATGCCACATTTACCAGCCGATGATCCATTATTTCAAATAGATCAATTATTTCGTCGTACTATTCTATCACATAGAGCTTATGATGCAAGTTCAAATGGTTATGTTCTATGGCATTGGCAAGATGATCAAGGTAAAGATTTTTGTTTTTCTTCAAACAAATATTTATGATGTTGTCATATATACATAATTTAATTTAGAAATAGAACTTTCTGTCTTAATAGAAAATTATTAGCAAATGAATTCCATTGAGAAAAAAGTTATACGAATAGTTTTTCATCAAGATAAAGATCTACACGAAATTATTTAGGGAATAGATTGAATTGATTTTGCATATTTTTCTTTTCATATCTAAAGAAAAATTATTTCGATTATATTTTTCGAAATAGAATAAGATTTAAAAGTAAATTTCATTTGAATAGAGTTGCATTCTAACAGAACACAAATGTATTTATCATATGAAGAATACTTACTAAGAAAAAAACACATGGCTAAATGTGTTCGTACATGATAACAGTATATTGATTTTCATCTTCTCTATCTAAGGCATATGTTACATTGACTTTTTGTTTTGTTTTACATAAATGAAATATTTCAAAATGCAAATTAAAAATTAATTCTGTAGGATAATTCATGTAGTTGACGATTTGAAACTAAATGATATACTTGTGAAAAATAATTAAAGAAAAATGAGCAATTTTTTTTTATTTTAAACTTCCATAGAAAGAACACATATGAGTGCAATCGCGGGGTTAGAATCATTGATTTTATGTATTTGTATTTATTAATAAAAAGAGAATCTATTGTATTTCTAGGTCAATTACATCCATATTTATTACAAGATTCTCGTACGATAGAACATGCTTGGCAACAACATGAAGAAGTTCAATTAGTAATATCCGGTCGTCACTATCTCATTGATTTACAGCAATTACAACAAATTAATGAAGAAACAAATCAAGCACGATTTATTAAACGTACTGTTACACCTAATATGACCGATACAACAGCAACAACAACAATAGCAACAGAGTACGATGAAAAAACAAAAAACAATTCGTTTGTATTTTTTTCTAATATTTTAGTTCAATTGATGAATCAACTAATACCAATCGTCAATTAACAACAACAAATAATTCTTCGGATGCTCGAACTGAAATGATGAAAGATAATATTGAATTATATAGTTCATTTATACAATCATTATTTAGTGTTCTCTATGAAGTATATAATTCATTGGCTGGTCCAGCTGTAAAACATCGTTGTTTAGAAGCATTACTTCTTATGATATATTATTGTCCACCAGATTTATTTGAAACTATTTTAAAACAACAATCAATATCATCTCATATAGCATCAATGTTAGCATCATCTGATTATAAAATAGTTGCAAGTGCTTTACAAATGGCTGAAATTCTTATGAAAAAATTACCACAAATATTTTCAATTTATTTTTATCGTGAAGATGTTGTACATCAAATTGAAATACTTATTGGTTTTGGTGTATCATCATCATCATCATCGAATATATCATTAGCACGTCATAATCATACAAGTGGTAGTCGTAGTCAACTTGATCTTGTTCATTTAAATGATCATAATATATCAACACAAAATGAAACATTAGATGAACAATTACGAAACCCAACAAATACACGTCGTTATTATACAATAACACTCGAAACACACCCATCAACAAGAATTGAAACACGTTCACAACGTGCACGTCTACCAAAAACTTCCAGGGTGTGGGTGTGGGTGTGGGTGTGGGTGTGGGTGTGGGTGTCGGTGTGGGTCTGGGTATGGGTATGGGTATGGACGTAGAGGTGGGTGTGGATGGGTGGGTGTAGATGTGGGTGTGGGCGTGGGTGTGGGTGTGGGTGTCGGTGTGGGTATGGGTATGGGTATGGACGTAGAGGTGGGTGTGGATGGGTGGGTGTAGATGGGAGTGAGGGTGAAGGTGCGGGTGTGGGTGTGATTACTTGTTCACGTTACTTCGATAGACACCCACACCCACACCTCACATCCACACCCTACATTCATCCACACACTTGCAACCCCACACCCTACATCCACCCACACACACCCACCCACACCTCACACCCACCCACACCCCACACCCACCCATACCCACACCCACACCCACCCCACCCGAAAACACTTGATTCTTTCAGTGAAATTAGCTTTTTTCATTATTTTTATTGATAAAGACACTTCGAAATATACTCATCCGATGCAGCGTGAAAAACTGCGTCTGACGAGTATATCTTGAAGCGTCTTTTTTAGTAAAAATAATGAAAAATCCTACTTTTATTGAGAAAATCGAGTGTTTTTTTTTCATATAAAAAAACAAGTTTTTAGAGATTTTTTTAGGATTTTACAAGTAATTTTTAAAATTTTTTATCTCAGAAAGATGGCTTAAAAAACTTCTGATATATGCAGTTTTGTAGAGCTCGACGAGCTCTATCGAACCATGTAAAAATATCAAAAGAAAATATCTTACTCTATATTTGAATTGCTGGTGCCTTAATTTTCTATGCTACAAAAAGCATACAATTTCCGAAGATTTCGTAAGTTCCACATTAACATATTTTGGTATCTCTTACTATTTAGTACTAATAAATCCAGTTTTCGACGCTCTTTAATTTGGTATAAAATTCATTAGGTATTCAACGTGAAATAATAGTGCTACCCCCCTAGCAAAAGGTTATGCACAACCCTGTATATATATATGGACGCGATTTCATGCTTCGCTATTATTCTTTTAAAGCAAGTCTCAATTATAGATCGGTCCGATAATCGAAGGTGTTCGTAAGTTTATGATGTCAGATTACGGACTATTTTCTAGATAATCTGATGGACTGACGGCAACTTACTATATGAATAGATGCACACTAGCGTTGCACTGATATTCTTCTAATTCACCAACCAAGCGAGACGGCAAGTTGACGAATGAACTAATTGCTATTAAAGACAATATATACGAGCAAAACCGAGAAAATCAATACAAAATTATATTTTCGGGCACATTTTAACCAACTCTCTAACTATTATCGCTACTCTTACATCCACATCGATTATAAGTATAACAAGGGTTTCGTAGTTTATAGCCATTAATAATATGTGGGGGTGTGGGTGTGGGTGCTTGATTGTAGGTAACATGCACATCCACATCCACACCCTTAAGTGTCATAGATCTGTAACTTTTCACGCCTAAGTTCAATGAAGTACCTTGAGTTACCGTAAAGTACATGAAGTACATTTAAGTACAATAAAGTATATTAAGGTACGAAAGTACAGAAGTACGCTGTTTCTCCCTTGCTAATATCTCTGTTTCTGATCACCAGAAACAGAGATGTTAGGCTAAAGACAAAGAGAACAAATCCGAAGAAACTAAGGTCTCCAAGAAAAGAAATTTACCTATGTTTTTGGTCGCTGTTAGGTAGTGAAATATACCCATAACTTCACTACCTTTGTTGTTCTCTTTCTTTCCTTCACTTATATGTTATTCTCGTTATTATATTATTTCTTTCGCTCTCTAAGTTGAATTTTTTCTTTTCTCTTTCGTATTAATAGGATTTTCCTACTCATGTATTTTTTCATCGTTGTTCCTATATATTAGCGGTAATTTTTGAAGAGATGGGGTAAATAAAGAAGAAAGAAAAGAAGCGTGAAAGTTAAACCTAACAAGAATCAAAGTTTTCTGAAAATTTTCTCGAAGTCTGCTTTTGAAAATTGAAGAGACACTTTCCCAGATAAGGTAACTCAATGTGCTCTAGTCAATCATGAAAAAAAATTAAAAAAAACAATTTTGTCGAAATTTTGAATTGCGTGCACCTTAGTAATATAATACAAGACAGCTAAAGAATGAAAAGCTCTTGCTCTTGAAGAAATTGGATGAAAACAGGATGAATGAATGAATGAATGAATGAATGACATTGTTCTTTTCGGGGCTGATCTGTCGATTCAATCCACCCAGAACACGTTGACCTTCAGTGCGCATACACACAGAGGAGAAATTAGGCATCAATAAAAATATCAATATTTTACTGTTCTTTTTCCTTCATTCATTCGTTGTCAATGAATTTATCTGCTGCTTGCTATTGCTTTTCATCGTAATACATTTAATACAGAGCTGCTTCCGATATTTTTCTCTTTTCTGCCCACTGATTCCCATATAAAAGCAACAGGACGACAACAAACATCACAAACATAACTACCACAGGCACAGTACTCCGTCTCTTATTTTTGCTGCTCTCTCTGATCATAATTGCAATGGCTGATTCTGGTGGTGGTTGTCTTGATGCTTTTTGTCGTGCTTTTCGTGCTTGTTGTCTTCCGTGCGATATTATTTGTTGTAACGCTTGTGGTTTTGATCCTGATAATGGTGGTGGTTTTTGTGCTAGTTGTGGTGATTGTTGTCGTAATACTGTTGGTCGTTGTTGTTGCTGTCCTCCTAATTGAACAAATAAGTCAGGTATGTTTTGTTAAATATAGTGTTTAGATGACAACTCATGGAGAGAATATCGCTGTATTTTATTTCATCATCCCAACATTCTTGTTTGAGATTATCTCTTTGATTACTTGATGGTACTGAATTAATTCACTATTTTTTCTTTGTAGGAATCATGGCACAGATACAGCATCAAAATCGAACGTTCCTATCAAGTATCGTCTAACATTACCTAGTTAGTAGTTAGTTGGCTCTTTCACTTTTTCATCTATTTTTCTACTTTATTTTTTGTATTTTTCGTAATTTGCAACTATAATAAAATCTGTGCACCGAAAGCATACTCTGATTAACTTGTTGAGAGTAACATAAAATATCATTAAATAATCATGAACAACATTTTTTTTTCTGTCGCGAGTTCAAAATTACGCATTTAATTCACTTTAAGTTCCATAGAGTGAAGAAGCAATGTTATCCTTTGGATACTGAATCAAATACTGATCATTCCTCTCTATTTACACGTAACGATAGGCGGCTTTTTCTTTGCTCTTGTACGAGTATATGTGACATTGCACGTGTACTACAATGTGTATATGCAGAAATTGATTTATTCATTAATTTATTCATCAAAAAATTATTTATTTACTTATCAAAATAAATAAAATAATCAAAGAAGAAATTATTTATAAAAGTGTCATACAATGATTATGCAAACATGTCAACTCATTTGAAAGATAGAATGGTCGACGGTACTGATATTCAACCAAAAAAGCTTGTTAGCGCAGCCCCTTTGGGGCTAAAATGTGGAACTCACATATGTTCTTCAGCTTCGTTATATTAATACGAAATACAGAAGATGTAAAATCAAGAATTTTTATTTTTCATTTTCTGACGGGCGCTCTATTTTTCGTTNCAAAATTTCAGCTCAAAATTCCTTCTTTCGATTTGCCTCGAAGTACCTTGCATAGGGTAAAAAATTCAATAAAACGGTCATAATTCGGAAAGATAAACCTAGCAGCCCTTGTTCTTTTGGGCTTCTTCTAGACTCACTAACGCCTACATAATGCGCATAGTCTTGATTCAAAAGCGATTTTACACTTACATATGTTACCTCGTTAGAAAAATCATGTTATCTATCTTCAATAACAAAGCTGGTAATAGACAGAGATGTTTTCTACTGAAGAAGTTTGGTGTCTTTTCATATTTGTAGCCATTTGCAAACTCGATTACACACAGAACTAGAATTAAGTTAGTGTCATTCTATACGAACACATACAAGTGTCTATCAAACATCGGAGATGTCGAACGAAAGCATAGAAAAGAAAAACAAGTTTTAAATCAATTATATATTTTGATAAAGTATCAAATGCTGAACAAACTAGACTAGTTACATCTTTTTCTTATACATACCAAGTGATTCTTTTTTCCATAATCTATCTATCATAATGCAGCAATAGTATAAGCTAAAGATCTAAAAAGTTATTAGGCAAATACATTTAAATTCATATATCGTATGACCAAAAAAAAAAAAAAAAGGTTACAATTCATTCATATACAAAAAAATTAAATTTGTTTTTTTTTTAATTTTATTCTTAGGATGGTATAAGTGCATGTCTTGAATATATTGAATTTTTTTCTATAACATCACAAAATAAATCTTTAGCTATTGTTGCTAATTGTTGTATACATATATTAATACGTAATGATTTTAATTATATTCGTGAACATTTAGAAAATCTTTCAAATCGTTTACGTTCGGATGATAAAAAAACTGTTGAACATGTTTGTACAATATTTTCACGTTTAGTTGAAAATTTTCATCGTGATTCATTAATATTACGTGAAATAGCATCAATGCAATTACTTAAAACAATGCAAACAATGCTTGTTATACAACCATCATTATTAAATAGTATAACATTTGTTAGTATAATTCATATGTTTTTTATTTTTTCGGCATATTGTCCAATACTTGCTGTAACATTACTTAAAATGAATATAGCTGATACAATAATATATTTATTAACGGGTACAAATGAAAATAAATCAATAATAAAATCAATTCCAATAACATATAAATCAGCAGCATTATCAACAAATGAAATAATATCAATGAATATATCATCAATACAACAAACAAATAATATTGAACTTATATCACGTACACCACAAGAATTATATGAAATTGTTTCATTAATTGGTGAAATGATGCCACGTTTACCAAGTGATGATCCATTATTTCAAGTTGATCAATTATTTCGTCGTAGTATTTTATCACATAGAGCTTATGATGCTACTTCAAATAGTTATGTTCTATGGCATTGGCAAGATGATCAAGGTATTGATTTTTCAAGGAAATAATTCTCTTCTCATGTATAATTGAGAAATATCAGTTGTTATCTTGATGGAAATCATTAGAAAATGAATTCCATTGAGAGAAAAAGTTGTACGAACGTGTCTTTTACCAAATGTTATGTACACTTTATTGAGATAGCAAGCTATTTAGGGAATAAAGAAAATTGATTTTACATTTTCTAAAAAGATAAGATCGAAGTAAAAGATTTTAAAAGCTTATGAGGAGTTTGCACTCTAGTAGAGCATCCTAAGCGTCATTCCGCTTCGTTGTAGAATGTTAAGTACTGTTTTTCGTTGTCTCAATAACTGTAATCATCATTCTGGGCATGATTTACTAAGAGAAAAATGCTTTAAAATTTTCGTCATATCAAATAGAGTAAATAAAATATATGTAGCTTATTTCCGGATGAAAAAAACAAAAGAACTATGTCGTCAGACGATGAAGAAAATCGTTTAATTCCGAGATGCTCTGTTATCATTTTGCAGCGGGGAAAAAAATTTGGTATCACGACTCGATCTCTGCAATCTATATTTATAAATTCGGAATGTGAGAGAGAAGTAAAACAGTTCTCTCTTTAAAAAGAGATCGATCTTGTGATCATATTCATTGTAAGAAGTAGTAGATATTATGATAATTCTTACAACTGATGAACTTTAACTAAATGACACATTCTAATAATGAAATTTAGAATAGAATTAATTAATGAAAAAAAAACATTCTTATTCTATTAATATGCCATTATATGACGCATGTCAATGTCATATTAACTTTTTGATCAATGACGTTTTTTTCTTAATACCATATAAACTTCTGTAGAAAAGACGCATATGAGTGGGATTAGGACAATATTACCTAGTTTATGTCTAAGTAAAGATTAGGTTTTTTTTTTGTTTATTAAAATAAAAGAATATATTATATTCTATTTTTCTAGGTCAATTACGTCCATATTCATTACAAGATTCTCGTACGATTGAACATGCTTGGCAACAACATGAAGAAGAAGTTCAATTAGTAATATCAACTCGTCATTATCTCATTGATTTACAACAATTACAACAAATTAATGAAGAAACAAATCAAGCACGATTTATTAAACGTATTGTTACACCTGATACCACCGAAACAACAACAACAGCAACAGAGTATGATAAAAATATACTTGAAATAAAGAACAAAAACAAAAAAATGTTTTCTTTTAGTTCAATTGATGAATCAACAAATTCAAGTCGTCAATCAACAGCAACAATAACAACAACAAACAATTCTTCAGATGCTCGAACTGAAATGATGAAAGATAATATTGAATTATATAGTTCATTTATTCAATCATTATTTAGTGTTCTCTATGAAGTATATAATTCATCAGCTGGTCCAGCTGTAAAACATCGTTGTTTACAAGCAATACTTCGTATGATATATTATTGTCCATCAGATTTACTTGAAATTATTTTAAAACAACAATCAATATCATCACATATAGCATCAATGTTAGCATCATCCGATTATAAAATTGTTGCTAGTGCCTTACAAATGGCTGAAATTCTAATGAAAAAATTACCACAAATATTTTCAATTTATTTTTATCGTGAAGGTGTTGTACATCAAATTGAAATTCTTATTGGTTTTGGTATATTATCATCATCATCATCATCATCATCATCAAATACATCATTAACACGTCATAATCATACAAGTGGTAGTCATAGTCAACTTGATCTTGTTCATTTAAATGATAATAATTCATCATCACATATTGAATCATTAGATGAACAATTACGTAAAACAAATACACGTCGTTATTATACAACAACAGAAATAAATCCATCAACAAGAATTGAAACACGTTCACAACGTGCACGTGTACCAAAAACATCAACACGTTCAATGTTTGAAGAATTTTCATCAAGACCTATATTAAATCGTGCAACCGGTGCATCATTTTCAACAGGAACTCTTGATATTGGTCTTGGTCGTGGTCGTCCAACACGTGGTCATGTTGCATCACCTACTCTTTTTCGACCAACATCAAATTTTGATCCATCAACATATTATCCTCGACCACCAATTTATGTTCCATCACCATATGCGTATGCATCAAGTGTACCAACAGCTGCTTCATTAATAAATCCTGTACCAACAACAACAACACAACGACAAACACAATTAATATTATCATCACAAGAAAAAGCTAAATTAAAAGAATGGATACAAAATCAAGCGAAACATTTTCGTACAGCTTATTTTTCAAATAATTCTTCAACATCAAATATAGCTTTACAAATAATAAATCGTTTAGCAACAGCTGTTGATATATTACATGTTGGTAAAGATCAACAAGAAAATGGTAAAGCATTACGTGATATTGCAAATATAATAGCTAAAGGTGATGTATCACCATTTGAAATGGTTCATAGTGGTTTAATAACAAAATTATTTCAATATTTAACTGATGATATAACAATACCAAATAATAGATCAGAAAGATTAAAACAATTTTTAAATATTTTTATGAATATTCCATTAGAAAATGAACAAGATTATGATATTATATTAAAACAATATATTATTGAACTTTATCAATCACAATTTAATCATGGAAAAAATCATCATCGAAAAGAATATAATATTTTAAATCATTTAATTAATAAATTACATGGATGTATTAATCAACTTGAACAGTTTCCAATACGAAGTAAGACATTGACAGAAAAAAAAAATTCGTTTCTCCTTTTTTTATTCGAACATTCTCAAAGCTTTATCACAAATATAAGTTTTATAATGATCTTTGATCTCGGAACAAGATCTATGTTAGATATACTGCGGAGTTTTCAATAGAGAGCGCCACTTCCGTCATATTTGACTGTTGTCACAGCGAAGGTAACGCTCTCTATTAACGTTTCGATAATACACAATAAAATTTGATAATACTATATGCACCATTAGATAGAAGAAGTTTTTCTATCGTTTGGAAATCAAAAGTTCATAATCACCTTTGTTGATAGTGTTGTTTACAACTTTCTAATCGATCGTTCTTGAGAAACAAAAATGGAGAAAAAAATTATCGGTATAATGAATGTTCGCTATACCCATGGTAGCTTAATACTGAAAAGGTTGGTTATCTATTGACAGTGTGCCGTCAGTTATTATGAGTACCGGTCGTATTGTGAATAAACGTACTACATACGAACCTCATATTCAAGCTAATATGTGTGGACAAATTTCATTCGAGCAGAATTTTAAAATTCGCTTCCATTCATTTTCTATGTTCATTTTATTACACATAGGGATGTGCAGTTTCAGTGTACTGACCACCGACTCAATATAGTTAGTGCACATTAACACTCTGGCACCAGTATTCACTGAAGTATTACAACATACCGCTACAAAAGAGGATATCTTCGAATAGAGTTGGTGTCTCAATAATGCAGCAAACAAGAATGTCAGGGTAGTCAGTGCTTCAGTGGACCCTGTATCGGTGACTCACTATTCACTATGTATATCAGTACTACACATTCCTAAGTATGCATGGCGGTTAAATAAGCAAAACATAAATGTGAGTTCATGAGACTAAATATCGCTTATCTCAATAGATAAATTACATGTGAAAAATTAGAGTGAACAAAAGTTTATTCTCATTGACAGCCTAAAAACAATTGATTATATATTGAACTGAATGAAAAGAATTTCAATTTTTCTGATTAAAAAATCATATTCTCAAAAAACGATAAAAATATTTCAGAAATTAATTTTTTCATTCAAATTCAAAGACAAAAAAAACATTTATAATGCTTTTAAATTGACTGTCTTTAAAGCATGCAACAGACGATAAAATAAGTCTGTTAAACATTGACCATTATGCGAAAGATCATATATATGCTGAAAGGAAAACTTCGAAAAGTTGGGTTTTCTCAGACGGAGTAGCCTGTAATGCATTCTAATAGACTGTCTCAAAAATGAAAAACAATACACAATGCTTTCTTTCAAGGCTTGACTTCACTAGAATTTAAAAGAGAATCAACACATCGAATCTTCTCTTGAAACAGGACTCCTGGAATAACTATCAAGAAGATCCACAGTAAAAATCTACTCCCGATTTGCAATCAATCATTTATAGGTTCATAGTAAATTATAAAGTTATTCATGAAAAGACTCTCGATATTTCAGCAAAATGACAATAGTGTTTAGGAAGTCCTAGATTTGACCTCCGTAATCGAATGCAAATTCAAGGAGTGTGATTATGTTTGTGCAATCTTACTTCTCAATAAGAGATCTTTTGTTCTTACGAACTTATGGAAATCATCTGTACTTCTAGACAAAAAGAAATCTAAGCGAACAGAAAACTCATAGTTTATTTCGATAACAAAAATTTTAACAAGTTCATAACATCTCTATTCTATTGCAGAGTAATAGTTAGAATAGTAACAAAAATAGAAAACAAAAATATATGAAGACTTGTCTAAGATATCGAATTTTTAATTTGTCTATTCTCTCTGGAGGCTTCATATTATCAGAGAACTCGTTCTTTTGAATTTTAATCTAAAACTTCATACATATAGAGGATTCGGGTTCACGTTTTTGTAGACTTGCAATTCCATAGCAACCAGGCAAATAAATTGTAGAGCGCCACTAAAAAGAATATTCTTAAATAGCAAATACACTTAACTTCCAATGTTTCACTTAACGTAGTTTATTTGTAAATAATTAAGTTCTAGAATATATTTTAATCGTAAAGAGAAGCTACGCTCATAAGCTTGTGTTTTTTTCCTAAATTCGAAAAAAGAAAAACTCTAATTTATCTTTTATTTTAGTCAATGATATTGCTGGTCGTCCAGCTCATAGTTCAGCACTTCGTTTAATTACAACACATCAATTAAAATGTAATCTTGTTCGTCATCCACAATGTAAAACACTTAAACAATGGAATAGTGGTCCGGTGAAAATAGATCCACTTGCACTTGTATCAGCTATTGAAAAATATTTACTTTTACGTGGTATTGCTCATAGTAAAATCGTAAGTTTTGAAGAAAAACAAATGGTTTGATCGAGTTGTCTAAAACATTTTCACTCGTGGGTTCGAATCTAATTATCGGAGAAAATATTAAAAAAGTTAATTCTAACTGATATTTTAAAATTTTACCAGTTACAAAAAAATTTTCTCCAAAAATAAAACTTGAAGCATCGTTGATCACCATTGTTGATCATTGAATTATGACAATTAATGGGAAAAATATGTTTATGCTATAAAAATTTTATTTTTTATTCTTTCAGGATGATCCATCGAATACACTTGATGATGATGAAAGTGAAGTATCAAATGAATCTGATGCTGAAGATGTTATTAATGTTTTAACACGTTCATCAACAATGAGACTTGAATTTTTAATTAATGATCATATTATTCCACATAATATGACTATCTATCAAGCTGTACGATTATATAGTACACCAACACAACGAACAGCGTAAGACATGAAAAACAAAAGTTTTTTTTTTCATCGAAATCAAATTTTTCTTTTAGTGATAATGAATCAGAAACTGATACAGATGAATCAATATTTTCTTCATCAACAATTTGGACACGTATACATACAATAAATTATCGTCAAGCAACAAATTCATCATCAACAATAAATACATCTCTTGGTACATCTAATATAACAACATCATCATCATCATCAAATCGTATACGACGTACAATAAATACACAAAATTTATCAAAAAAAACAATAAAAACTTCAAAACGTTCATCAATAATATCAACAATTGATGAATTATGGTTAAATGGACAATGTAAAAAATCAAAATCATTATTAATAACAACATTAGATGAATCATTATCATCAATATTAACAATAAATGATTTATCATTAAATGCAATATTTCTTTTACGAATATTAAATAGTTTAAATATTTATTGGTATGATTTATATATACATACAAATACAATGCATAATAATCAAAATATAATATTAACATTAATATCAAAAAATGAATTTTTATCAGCTAAATTAACATCAAAAGTTAATAGACAATTACAAGATCCTGTTGTTATTATGATGGGACAAATACCATCATGGATAACAGAAATGGGTTATTCATGTTCATTTTTATTTCCATTTGAAACACGACAAATGCTTTTTTATCCATGTGCATTTGATCGTGAACGAGCAATGCAAAGACTTTTAGATAGTTCAGATATGTTAACACAACAACATAATAATGATCAAACAGATAGACAATCAATTATACCGAGAATTGAAAGAAAAAAAGTACAATTATCAAGAACAAATATTCTATCAGAAATGGAAAAAATTCTTGATAATTGGAATTCAAAACATTTTCTTGAAGTTCAATATGAAGATGAAGTAGAGAGAAAAAAATTTATACATATTTTTTTTTTTTTGTGTGATAATTAAATTTTTGTATTTAGGTTGGTTTTGGTCTTGGACCTACACTTGAAGCTTATTCATTATTATCAAAAGAATTACAAAAAAATGGTTTAGAATTATGGAGAACTGACAAAATTTTTGATTCAATAAAAGGTTATTATCCTATAAAAATATAAAATTTAATATATAATAACATATTTTTCTCAACTAAAAAATATCAAAAAGTTTTCGTTTATAATATCTTTTTATGAAGTTCGTTTAGATTTAGAATTTTTCTTTTGAAACATTTAATAATTTTGTATTTCATGAGATATTGGTTATCATCAGTTATTGCAAAACAAATAAATAATATATTCTTTCGATTTATGTAAAAATAAATATCGATATTCTGGATTCAATTCATACATGTAAAACTCGAAGAGAACTCCTCATAAAATCCACTATATATTCCCAAGAATCATCTGTAGATTGGATAAGAGCTGACTCGCGATCTCATATAGGTCTTCGAAAATAATTCTTGGCGATGTTGCGGAGAGATTCATTGAAGATCTTCTGTGGACAGTTAAGAGCATCTCGAGAATCCCTGAAAAGCATATATATACTTAGAACATACCAACAGTTCTCGATATGGCGTTTAAAGGATCTTTTCGGACATGGAGATCTATTGAGAAATGAGAAACCAAATATGAGGTGTGGATGTGTAGTCGACTATCAGTAAATTGACTCTAGTTCCTTTAAACTTTTACGAAAATAAGATTTATTCGACGTGTCTCAAAATTTTCTACAACATGGTATATTTGGTTTTTCATTTCTCAACAAGTTTCCCTTATTCGAAAAGATCTTCTAAACGCCATGGTCAGAACTTTTAGTATGCTCGAAAGTTCGGTTTCAAATACTGAGATGTACATAGCTGATTAATAAAACATAGAAAGTGAATTCAAAGAATTTCGAGCTCCACTATTCTTTAACCTCACAGCACAAGGTTTGAGTGTCAAAGGATAGTTGAAAACTCGAATATTCGAATTGTAAATCTCAGTTTAAAACTCGTAATAAACTAACGATTTCTATACTACTGAATGATCGATATATATAACAGAGACCGTCATCAGGTCAGGGCAGCCCTGACGCCCTGTCCTGTTCTGCCCTGTCCTACAGGGCAAACTTTTTTTTCTTGCCCTGTCCTGTCCGCCCTCAGGGCGCAGGGTATGGCAGGGCAAATTGTTTTGTCCTGATAATATTTTTAATAAAAATTGATTTGAAAACATTTTCTGAAGCTAAACATCAATCTTTCAGAGCATGTATCGCCTATGTATAATCTCACCAGCTAGTGATGATCTCATGTTTCCGATTGATTTCATTAGAACTAACGAATGTGACACTTATTCGGATTCGTCATCGTACAATACAAATTCTCTCGATTTCGAAAAAATTCAGCATCTCCTATCACATCAAAAGGAAGTCTATCAAATAAAAAATGAATGTCAACCTATTGCTAAATGATGATAGAAATTTTTGAATCAATTCAATGATGGCATTCAATCACATAGAATTCCTGTCTACGTTGATCAATGTCTTGTTTTTATATATTTTGCTCGTGTCATGTATCCGTGAAAAAAAAGAGTCAAGATATTTTAGTAAAATCGGTTATCTTTTTATCAAGAATGAATTAAAATGATACTAACGGGTGAAGAAGAAATAATGGTCGCGTTTTGCATATCACTTTTGAGTTATTTAATACGAGGTATTAAGAAAAGAAATTATACTAAAATATGCAACGTGAAAAGCCCTACAATTTGCATAAATCAGCTTTTTTCCTAGTTGTCCTTTTGGCTGCCAAAAAGTCAAATTTTTGATCGATCACATATTGACCATGTGAAAACGATGCTTTTTCTTACAAAAATAATTTGTGTTTTCTTCTTATTTTACCTTTTTGTCGTCTCAAATAGTTTACTTTAAACAAATATACCAGTAGATGCAGCGCGAAAAGCTCTATAATTTACATAAAAGAGCTTTTCTTATAGTGGCACTTTTGGGTTCAAAAGGGACTAAACTCGAAGCAACCAAATGCCGACGCTGTGAACAAGATATTTTTTGGTACATGACGACTTCGTTTTTTTATTTCATCTTTTGTCGGTCTTGAAAACGAAAAGTGCAAAATGTAAGAAAAACTATATTATGTAAATTGTAGAGCTTTTCATGCTGCATCTTTTGGTATAATTTCTGGTCTTAATACCATGTATTAAGTGACTCAAAAGTAATATACAAAACGCGACCATTATTTCT